CCCCCTGATGGTGATCCTGCGGCTTCAGCCCAGGACACCTACACCACCTACCTTGACTACGACACTGGTTGGACATGGGTCTATGCTGCCACGGACGGTGCGTGCACCAACCAAGCCATCCCATTGCTAGCACGAGCGGGTTACGGCGTCTACTACGGCATCGATCACCGCATGAACTACAGTGCACGCGTTCACGGCCTAACGCAGAACGCCCAGGTTGCGGAGACCCTCGCCATTGTCCACCTTACGGCATGTGCCGAACGGCCCGTGCACGTTTTCGTGGACAACCAGGCGGTGGTCGATGGGTTCCAAAGCATCATCGACGGACATCCAGCGCCGCAGGGCACGCACGCGGAGCTCTGGGAAAAGATCCACCGATGTGTTATGGCCAAGCCCAACATGTTTCGCGTCGAAAAAATCGCCAGCCACCTGGGAGACCTGGGCATCGACCTTGGGCTCATCGGGCCCATCGCGGAGGAGTTCAACCGTCAGGCCGACGCCCTTGCCACAGCGGCGGCACGCACGCACAACCTCCCCGACGACATTGTTGAAGCTGCCAAAACACGACATCGCCAAGCGACCGTGCTTCATGGGGTCGCTGTCGCTATCTACGAGCGCAGACACCGTACTCTGCCGCTCCCACACCGCAGGGCTCAGTTTACAGCAGCGAACTCGGCTTCGGCGGGGGATTAGACTTCCTGGACGACGGGCCAGCCAGCGCCAACCCTGCCCCGTCGGGCAGCCTCTCGACGCCCACCTCGACTCCGCCACCGAGAGCGACATCGCACCCACATGATGACGTCGCTCACCGTCAAGACGCCGACGAGGACCTTTATGATCCCCTCGGATTGAGTGGCAGCATAGACGACGCCCCGCCGACACCCCACGCTGCCGACGATGCCGCTCCATCGAGACGCCACCCGACCACGCGGCCGACCTCCGAGCCCTCGCACGGCATCATGATTGGTCCCCCCGTGCCACCCACCCCGTCCCCCCACCAGCGCCAGCCCGCGGGGGCGGCTCCAGCCCCCCCGCAGGGCACTGAGCCAGTCAGGCCGTCGCACCCCGTCCACGCTTTTACTGTTGCTGGGTGCGAGGCTGCGGCTCCTCCGTCCTCACGGGGCGTGGCCCTAGCGGCTTCAGCCCTGGGACCGCGCGTTTCCCTCCAGTCGCCTCCAAGGGCGACGGCCGCCAGCACACGGATCGCCGCACCGCGCTGGTCCACCACCTGGCCAGGCGCACCGATGACCTCGTCCCCGCCACGAGGCCCGCGGCCGCAGGCACAGAGCAGCCGCCCCTCACCGACCGCGAAGCCGAGCTGTCCCAGTCTATGGCCGCTCTTCAGCAGAGGTGTGCTGCTCTCGCCGCCGACCTTGCCGCTGCTCAAGCCCGTCAAGGCCCTCTGCTCCAGCGCCTCCACCGCGCCGGGCGTGCCTTCGCCGAGCTGCTTGCGCCCTCGCCCGATGGTGCTGCGCCGCCACTCACCCTCCATGCTATGCTGTCATCGCTCCGCGGCGCTCCGCCTGGAGCCCCGCGCTAATCTCCGCCACTCTGCCTGCCCGTGTGCACGCGTGGCCCCGCGTCCACGGTGTCAGGGCGTGGGGGCGGGGGGTGCCCCGTCCCTGCGCGCCGCTTTGCGGCCAAGCGCCCAACTGGCGGTCTGCCAAGCCGCCTAGCCACGTGTCAGCACGTCGCCTTTCTTGTTGGGGCCTTCTTCGTCACGCGGTCTGACACGTGAGATCTTCACTGTCTGTCCGCCGTCTGTAGCGTCAGTCGCATTGCGCCGGGGGAGGGGGTTTGTTGCCCGCCCTCGTATCTCAAGGCTGCACCGCCGCAAATAGTGTTTGGCGGGTTGTCGCACCGCAGTGCGCCTCGCGGACGGACCCTGGTCCGCCTACTTGTCCGGTCTCTCTCTCTCTCTCTCTCTCTCTCTCTCTCTCTCTCTCTCTCTCTCTCTCTCTCTCTCTCTCTCTCTCTCTCTTCTCTCTCGGTCGCGACGGGGGCCCCGGCTTGCAAGGGGAAGCAGACTTCTGAGCGGAAAGGTGCCCGAGCGCCCTCTCTAGTTGGTTTCGAGCAGTCGAGGGGGCGCCCCCCGAGGTCCACGCGCATGCGCCGAGCAATGGGGATGGGAAAAACCGTTGGAGGTGAAGAAACTGCGAATCTCGAACAGGTGAGGGGGCACTTCCTGGGGCCCAGACCCGTCCACTTCTGGGCGCGCCCACGGGTTCTTCTTCAGAGGCCCCCCCCCCCCCTGGGAAGAGGAGAGAACCGCGCCCCATCGCCTCTCCATTTAGCGCTCCGAAGAGAGGGGCGAAGCGGGTGGGCGTGGGGGTTCACTCCCTGCCCCCCCCCCCCCCCCCTTTCCTTGGCGCGGGATAGGAAATGCGCTGCCCCCCCCCCGCCCCCCGCGCCCCCGCCCGCGCCCGGCGGGGCTGCCCGAAGCCCGAGAGAAATTCGCGCCCCGGACAGACGAGGCACTCCCAGGGCCCAGGCGCCCCCATCTGTCGAGCCGCGCCCAGCCGCGGCGGCGAGGAGAGCCCGCGAAGGCGAAAGGGTGGCAAAGCTGGAGCAGGCGAAAAGGTGGCAAAGCTGGAGCAGGCCCAGGCGCATCCGCCGTAGACGCGCGAACGCAATTTTACATGCCTCCGTCTCCTCATCCGTCTCTCCGTGCTCCGCTTCGCCGTCGTCGTCGTCGTCGTCGTCCGCGCGCCCCCCTTCCTCCTCTTGCGCCTCTTCTACTCGATGGGCCGCGGGTCAGTTTGCCCGGGGGGTGCCGCCCCGGGAAGAGGAGAGCAGCGCGCCTTGTCGACCCCTCCCTTCCCGCGCCGGGGAGTGGAGAGGCGGGGGAGGATGGGGCGGGTGCAACCCGCGGCCCCCGCCCCCGCCTGGCGCGCGCGGGGGCCCCCGCGCCGGGCAATGGGGGGGCAGGGTGGGAAGGGCGCCCCCGCGCCCCCCCTTCGCGCTCGGGGGGGGCGGGGGGCGGGCGCCCCTCTTTTTCGCGGCGCCGAAATGTTGATTTCGGTGGCGGGGCGATCGCGAGGGGCGGGCTCTGGGGCCCTCGCCTGTTCTGGTTATATGCCGTCTGCCCGCGATTGTGTGCTCGCCTGCCTCTACGCCTTCCTCCTCTGCGCCGCCGCCGCCTTGCTGCCGCCGCCGCTGCGCTGCCGCCGCTTAGGGGGGGCGAAGGGACAGCCGGCCCGCGCGCGCCGCGCGCTCGCGCCTTCGCTCGGCTTCCCGACGGGGGGCGCCCTGGGGAGCCAAGGGCAAGAGGTTCCTGTGCATTGGGCGCTCGCGCCTGCGCTCGGCTCCCCGATCGGGGGTGGGCCCCCGCCTGGGCAGGGCAAACCCGCGGCGACCGCGCCCCGGTCAAGGGGCGGGCCCCTGCTTGGACAAGGCAAACCCGCGAGGCGACGCTCGGCTCCCCGATGCGGGGCGGGGCGGCTCCCCGATGCGGGGCGGTAAACCCACGCATTCAACCGCAGTTCTTGGGCAAGGGGCGGGCCCCTGCCCGGGCAAGGCAAGCCCGCGCGCGGCAGACGCACGGCCCCCCGAAAGGGGGCGGCCCCATGCCTGGACACGGCAGACCCAAGTCAGCCGCAGTTCTTGGATAAGGAACAGGTCCTTGCCTGGATGGGCAAACCAACGCGGCGGCCGCAGCCCCAGGACAAGGGGCGGGGCCCTACCTGGACAGGGCAGACCCGCGCGACTTGGCGCGGACCTTCGACGGGTGCCAGCCGCCGGCAAGCCAGAGGGCGACTCGACGTCCACAGGTCGCCGCGGAATGCCTTGACAAGGATCGCGGAAGCAGTGGAAAATCGATGTGCTGCTTGTCTGGCCGAGGATATTCCTTTTCTGCGCGGCCGATAAAGAGGTGCTTGCTTTCTTCTGCGACAAGGATCTCGCGCTCGGCCGATGAGGAGGTGCTCTGGAAAGGCCGATAAGGAGGCCCGCCACTCTTCAGCGGTTGTTTTGGTAACTTCCCACGCGGGAAAGTGCAGAGTGGTGGGCGTCTGGCGCCGGCGGCGGGCCGCGGTGCGGCGAGCTCCAGGACGTGCAGATACTTCGCGCAGGGTTGACCGTTGCGCGCGTAGAACCTGTTGGCTTGAAGATTTGGAGATTGGGTCGCAAGTCCAGCCGCGGCGGTCCCAGTCTCAGGTGGAGGTCCTCGTCTCCCTACCTCTTCTTCGGTCCGTCGCCGCGCGAGGTCGCAGCGAGGCCCGCCGGCTAGCGCTGAGGTGCTCTGCGTGTTATTTCCTAGGTGCCGGCGGATTTCTCTCCGAAGCGACATCCTTCAGCGACGCCGAGATCGCTGGGGCGATCGGCGTTCGCCCGCCGGGGGCGTTCAGCGGCGCCGCGGAGCAAACCGCGCGCGCATGGGTCGACTTCGTCTTGGGGGTCGATCCCAAGGCAATGGAGAAGCACGGCGTCTTCCACTTCATCTCGATGGCAAGGCCCCTGGCGGAGACCGTCGGCGCCGCGCGCCCCCCAGACCTGGGCGGGCGCGCCCGCGACGCGATCATCTCGCACATCCAGGTCAACGAGGCCCCTTGCGCCAGCGAGCAGCAGGGGCCGCGGGGGAAGTGGGGGGCCCCCCAAGGCGCAGACAAAGCGTCGGGGGCAGGTCAGCGGCGGCGTGCCCAGAGGCTCGCAGGGGTCAGATTTCGGCTGGAGTAACTTGACTGGAGCCTTCAAAGAGTTCGCCGAGACGCGGGCGGCGGCCTTGCAAAAGGGGCAGCCGAAGGGTCTGATCTTCAACATGCAAGACCGCGTTCACGAGCTCGGTCTGATCTTGCCCACAGACGCTCCTCCTCCAGAAGAGGTGTCGGGGCGCTTTGAGGCGGCGGGGAATATCGCCCGCGGCAAAGGTTGTCTGTGGATGGGTTCCGCCGATGGGGAAGGACTTGCGCGTCCACCGCAGGTTCGAGGGGCCCAAATGGAGTCGGGGACCAGTTGTCGACGCTGGCGTTGGTTCCGAAAGGTGGGGCGACGACCGCGCCGAGCATGCTCTGTAGCCGCGACGAAGCGGGCGATGGCGGATGAGATTGATTATCCAGGGTTGGCATTTTTCCCGTGGGGCGCGAAGGTCGCGCGCCTGAGTGGCCGCGCCCTGGTTGACCTGCGCGGGTGCATCTTCGCGGCCGGGATCGCCGATGCGAATGGCGGCGTGCGCGTTGCGTTCCAGTGCGACGTCCTGAATCGCTCTGCCACGGCAAAGGCGCTGGAGGAAGGGGGCGGGGCATCTCCCGGTTCTTCGGGCGCGGATCGCGACGCGGCCAAGGGGGCCAAAGACGTGGTCGAGAAGAAGCATTCAGGCGCGGGCGCGGCCGCGGCGAAACAGGGGCCCCGGGGTCGGACAATTGCCCTCGGGGATGGCGCCGTGGCCCGGCTCGTCGCCCATCGCGGGCGGCGACGATGTTCGGGGCAAGGCGAGGGCAAGGGTGATTGGAAGTCGAGCGGGGACGCGCTCCGGCGCCCCACCTCGCCTGTCCGGGAGGACAAGTGGCAGGGGGCGCCTCCCGCAGCCCGCCGCGCAAGGGCCAGGGGGGCGGGCGGGCCGCCGGTGAACGTTGGCTACCGCCGACGGCTTTGCGACGTCAGAGTCTGCAGATTCAGGCTCGCGCAGCGTTTCTGCATCGCGTGCCGGTTCAAGGCCATCCTCGCGCTCCCCTGAGGAATCCCCCCTCGGGGCGATCCAAGCAACGGTTTGCGCTTTCGAAGCGCGCGATGATTTGCGTCGCCTCGGTCCTTGGGGCCACCTGCAGAGGGCGCGCTGCTTTGGCGACGCGCCGTCCATGCCGGATTTTAAGCAGCTCTTTCGGGCGGTCAGCGAACGCGTCGGCTGCAGAGCTGCGAGCCACCGGAAGTTCTGCTTTAGTGTTATGGCGACAGCGGAAGCGTGGCCGACCCCGCGTGGCAAATTATGTATTCAAATTTGGCCCGCGCGCTGCCGGTCGGTGCTGGGGCCAAGGGAAAATCTACGATCTTCTGTCGTTGAAGGAAATTCCAGATGCAGTAGACTGGCCCAGGTTTTGTGTCGCATCCTCTGCAACGGCATCCCATTCGCGGGGGAACTTCCTGCCGGCGGCATCCCCGAGGTCGCAAACGCGTTTCTGGAACCCACCGAAACGATGCGATCGCTGTTAAGTCGCCCGCACTACCGGAACTAAGCGCCCCTCGACAGAATCGCTGCGCAACGCGGCAGCGACGCCGAAGTTCGCGCGCAATTGCTCCGCAGTGGTGCTAACGAAGACGAATATAGAAAAGCTCCTCTTCGAATACTCAACTCAGACTCGCGCGTTCCGCGCGGCTTTCGATCGCCCGAAGAACGAAACGCGCGTTTCACGGCTGGGCTCCCGCAGTTCGATGCAGTGACGATTTCACCGCTAAGCTGATGAACGGCGCTGTTGTACATGGTTGGGTCGCCTCGCCCGACGCTCTAGACAATATGGTGGCCATGGCGCGCTTGATTCTTGCAGGGCGGGCAGGGCGTTGCGATCCGATCGAAAAAGACGATTCCAAGCACGATTCTAGGACATTGCCATTCTGCAGCGGCCACTGGCCTCGCGCAGTCGCAGCGTGGCAGGGCAATGTGGACCTGGCGCTGCAATTGCTGTGCTTGCCCTTCGGCGCCTTGGTCTCTGGCTGGGGTCGCAGCGTGGGGCATGTTGGCAGCGTTGTTCTGCGTGGTGCATTTGCGCTTTGACGACATGTTCGCCGGCGATCCACCAGTGGAGACGCGGGGTCGGTCGGTGCTGTTTTCGCGGGCCCAGAAATTGGCGGGGACGTTGGGCGGGGGCGCGGCGGCCGTTCCTGGCCGCGATGCGAGCGCGCGCGCCAGGCAGCAATCTTCCATCGCGGGGCAGACAGTCGACGAAGATTGTCCCGGCTAGCGCAGCTGCGCTTACAGTGGCGGCTGTGCTCCCAACAGAAGCCGCCGGCCCGAAGCGCGCCAGCGAACCCGCTGCATTCTTCGCGCGGATGCCGCGGGCCAGGGACGGATGGCACGGGTCGTCCACACCCCGGTTTACAGTCCTGAGCAGCCGCCGACGTCCCAGCAGGCGCCAAGGCATGGGTACATTACAGAAAGAACCAGATTGGTACTTGGGATCTCACGGCAGTGGCTTGCGCCCCCCAGTTTTGATGGAGTCTATGTCAGGCGACCTGGAAATCGCAGCCTTCGTAGACAGTGCCAGCGCGGTGCGAGCCTTCTTACGCGGGTGGTCCAGGCGCGCAGAGTGGAACGATTTAGTCGGCGAGCTGCGGCGTCCTGTTGCGCAGCGCGGCGATTTGTTGCGCGCTTGGCACGGTCGTCGCATGTGAACTTGGCCGATGCCCCCGCTCGGCCACGCGCCAGGGCAGAGTGGCTACATGCGATAGTTGCATATGGTTCCCGCGAGCTGCCATTGGTTTTCCCGCGAGACGTGCCTCGGGGGGCTCGAAGGGAAAAACGGGCGGCTATAGTTTGCGAGCGCAGGAAAATTGCGTGCCATCAACCGTCTGCGTCGGGTCACGCCAGATTACCATCCGGAGCCGCTGTTGGGCCCGAGGCGACGTTTCCGGAATCCACGAACCAGGGCCGCGCAGCAGGGCCCACGCAAGCGTCTGCGAGCGCCAGTGGTCCAGCATCGACTCAGGCCGCCGCGGCGCGCGCCGTGGCTGCGCGGACCATCGCGGGCGCGGACGTGGCAGCCGCAATGGCGGCCTTGGCCGAACAAGGTTTGCAGGCGCCATGTGGCCCGGCCGTTTTGTCGGCGAACGAGGCGCAGGGTATCATTCCACCACCCGCAGCCTGCGCGGCGGTTCTCGTGGCAAAGCTGCCAGAGTACTGTCGCAACCTTGCCCGGCGCCGGAGATCCAGCGAGGCAGACGCGCCTGCGATGGCCGCGCGGCTTCGCCGCCGGCGGACGCCCGCGCGCGCGTCAGTGCGACGATATTGCAGTTGTTATGCAGCGCCCGCGGCTCTCATGTAGTTCCCGCGCTCTGGGATTTGGCAGCTGCGATCGCCTCGCTGGGGCGTCTGGATTCATGTCCGAGAAGCGTGGCCGCGGACGAGAGCCTGCCTCTCGGGCATATCGTCCGTCGAGCACGATCAACGCGCAATTCGGGTCGAGTTTGCTGGGCGGCGGGCGAGCGCCCCGCAGCGCGCTTCGGACGTTCGCATCTGGAGCGAAGCAGCGGCTGCAGTTGGCAGGGGGCGCTGGCCACTTTCGCCCGCCGTGCTCCACGTCTTCGCCCGCGCCATCAGGAACGGATCGTCGCTGCAGAGGTGCGCGTCGCGCGTCCGGAGCTTTCGCTGGTGCTTGGAGCTCCTCCTGGGCGCTCTGGAGGGCGCGGGGCGGCCGATGAGAAGCGTTGCCGCGCTCGTTCGTTCTTCTGTTTGGCGGGCCAGGGCGCGGGCCGCGGGCGCCGAGGCGCGGCGTCTCCGCGAGTGGGCGAAAGCGGGCCAGGCATCCAGTGCTCGCAGAGTCGCGGGCGCTCGCCAGGCAATTCTGCAATCGCGATGGTGACAACATGAAGCATGGACGTGGGGCGGTGACATTTTCGTTCTCGCTGACTAAACGCAGGGAGTGCGAGGTGATTGGCCGCGTAGGGAAGGCTTCAGCGGCGAGTCAACGTCGCGCGCTGATGCGTCTGTGAGCTCCAAGGAAAATCGTCGCGCGTAGGGCTTGGTCGGCGCGGGGGCGCGCCGGGCCTCTCGAAGACGCGCAATGCGCTGAAGCGCCGGCCGCGCTAGAAATGAGCGTCGACGCGCTATGTTCCCGCGCGCCCGAGGCGCTTCGCGGACGAAGCGAGGCGAGCCGGCGGGCCAGCGGGCTTCTTCTACAGTGGCGGCCGGCGCGGAGCGGCCGCGCTCGGCCACGCGAGCGCAAAGGGCCGGGGCGCCGCGGCGGCCAAGGGGGCGGTTAATCGACCATTCTGAGTCGAGCGACGCGGCAGATACTTGACAGACGATCGCGCGCGTCGGGTGTTGCGCGGAAAAGCGTTGCGCGATTTGCCGCGCGCCGCCGCCCGAACATCGCGGAAGTTTCTGGGGGGCCTCCGGAGATTTTGGAATTGGCAGACGCTCTTGCACGTGCGTTGGTGCATGCGGGTGTTTTGGGCCGCCCCCGGATGCCCGCCTGGCAGTGCGTCTGCCGCGTTGCCTTTCGTCTCGCACGAGGGCGCTGGCCGAACTCGCGGTGACCGGCTGCCGCAGTGATTTTCATGATTCCTAAATATTCGATTTCTGGGGCAGGAATGTCGCGCGGGGCTGGCTCCTGGACCCTCGTCGGTTCTGCTTCGCCCTCTGCCTGCGATTGCGGGATCGCGGCCCCCCCGCCTTCCGCCGCCGCTCTGCCGCCGCCGCCCGGGGGGGCCATGGGCGAACGGCCTTCGCGCGCCTCGCGCTCGCGCCCGCGGTCGGCTCCCCAGCGGGGGGCGCCCAGGGGTGCCGCAGGCAAGGGGTCCTTGTGCACTAGGCGCTCGCGCTTGCGCTTGGCCCCCCGATGGGGGGCGGGCCCCTGCCTGGGCGCGGCGCGCCCGCGGCGGCCGCAGTTCTCGGGGTAGAGCGGGCCCCGGCCTGGACATGGCGAGCCCGCGAGGCAGTGCTCGGCTCCCCGAGAGGGCTCGGGCCCCTGCTCGGACAAGGCAAACCCGCAAATTCAACCGCAGTTCCTGGACGCGGAACGGGCCCCTGCCAGGGGAAGGCGGACCCGCGCGCGGCGCGCGCTCGGCTCCCCGAATGGGGGCGGGCCCCTGCCTGGACGCGTCGAACCCAAGTCTGCTTGGACAGGGCAGACCCGCGCGACTCGGCGGAGACCTTCGTCGGGGGTCGACCGCCGGCAAGCCAGAAGGCGAGCCTGCGCCCACAGGTCGCCGCGGAATGCCTGCACAAGGCAGCCGCGGCGACAGCGGAAAAAAACGATTGGTTGTTCGCCCGCCTGTCCAGCCCTATTTCTTGGTTCGGCTGGCGCTCTGCCCAGGTGGTGTTGTGTTGTTTGTTGGGCCGCCCTTGGGTGCCCGCCCGGCAGCGCGTCTGCCGCGTTGCCGATCGTCTCGCGCGCGCCGGCCGAACTCATGGTGACGGGCTGCCGTAGTGCGTCCGCCGACCGTTTGTTTTTGCGTGGCCTTTATCGCTGGTTGTGGAGGACGCCGTCGCGGCGCGGGTTCGCGGTTTCATGGGTGGGGTGTCTTGGATTAGTCATGGTATCGGGGTCGCGTTCGAGAGTCGCGAGACTTGGTAATTCCCGTAGCCTCTGCATATGCAGATGGGGGCGATGGGGCTGCTTCGAGAAGGAGTTCCCGCGGCAGGGGCGCATCAGCGGCGCGCAGGAGATGGAGCTCCTGACCAGGGGGGGGACATAGCCTGCGCTGATTGCAAGGGCCTTGGTTTCGCGGCGTGCAGATGGCAGGCGTGTCTGCGCAGCGGCACGTGCCAGAGAAAACTACCAGAGTCGGCGTTTTCCGTGAGGCCTGACAATGTCGCGCGCGACGACAAGAAGGGCACCCTGAAGTGTAAAACGCGCAGATGATGCGCACGCCCGCACTGCGGTTCTTCGAAGTAGGGCCATAATGGGGCGTGCGAGAGGGGGAGGGGGGCCGACGAGGACGAGGAGGAAGATGAAACAGAGGAAGCGCAGAAGGAGGAGGAGGTAGAGAAGGATGAGGGGTAGGAGGGGCGGGGGGAGGCAGGGGGCGAGGTGGGGGGGGATGAAGAAGACAGGAGGGAGACGAAGAGTGATGATCCAGGCTTGAGCCCTCACGGGGGCCTCCGGGGGCCGTTGGGGGCCATGCCTGCAACCCGGGAACGCGCGCGTGCACCCTGGATCTGGAAACCTTGTGCGGGCCTCTTGACCGCGAAGTATTTCATAGTTTTCGGTCCATTCCGGCCTGGTTGTGCGTCAGAGTCTCGGGGGGTCTCGGGGGTGTTTCGCGAGGTTTCAGCGGTGCGTTTTCGGGGGGCGAAAGGGGGGCAGTGTCAGAATCCAGAGGGGAACTCCTTGGGATCATTGTATTTGCCGCGGCTACCGTTCGCAGCGCTCGCCGTGGACACATGATTATCGAATGGTCTTCGGTCTATCCCGCCACCGTGCCTAGCTTGTGGGTATGAGGACGGTGGGATAGTTGTGTTCGCCGTGGACGCATGACCATCGAGTGGACTCTGGTCCATCCCGCCACCTTGCCTGGCTTGTGGGTGAGGACAGTGAAATAGTTGATGGGGTCTCGTCGGAAATTTTTCGGGAGAGTTGGAGGCATCCCGCCACCGTGTTTGGGTTGCGAGGCTGAGGCCGATCGGATGGTCGATGGGTCTCCCAGGAGGCCTTTCGGGGGCGTCATGGGGGTAGGTTCTTGGACCTCTTAGGGGCCTCGTGGAGGCCTCGTGGGATTTTTTTGGGAGCCCTCTCTGAGTTCCCTTGGGATTTATTGGGGCAACCTGGGGGCGTTTGGGGGCCGAGGGTTCGACATGTCCGTTCGGGTTTACCCTCAGGGCCCCCTCTTAGGGCCGTCGTGTGGCCCTCCTGGGCCGCCTTGTTTTTTGGGGGCAGCCGTGGGGCCCTTTTGGGCGGTCTTTGTTGGGGGCCGCGCGGGCCGTTTTGGGGCGATTTTGGTGACTTCGTGGAGCGGAAAATGTACTAAAATCGTACGTTCCCCCGAGGGATGGGGCAATTTGTGTTTCTTGAGGCCCTTTTGGAAGGCCTTTTGGAGGCCTCTGACGGCGTCTTGGCTGCATCTTGGGCCGTCTGGATGCCATCTTGGGCGTCTTGGCTCGATCATTCGGCGATTCGGGGTCTTCTTGGACCGTCGTTGGGGCCCCTTGGGGCCCTCTTGGCCCGTTGTGAGGCCCTCCGTTCCGCCGTGGAGCGTTCAACCGGGGGTCGTCCAAATTCGTGGTTTCGGGTCCCTGGGGGGGATTATAAGGGGGTAAGGGGGGACCAATCTCATACCCACAAGGGGTCGGCGGATTTTCCCGTGCCGGAGAGACAGGAAGGAAAGGGAAGGAACAGGAGAGGAGGGAAAAGGTGCACCCGTTTCCCCCCCCCCCCCACACACACCCCTTTTCGCGTGCCAGGGACAAGGAGGAGGGGGGGGGCCCTTTCCCGTGCAGGGAAAAGACATACGGGATGGAGGAGGGGGGGGGACCCCTTTGGCCCATCCCTTCCTTTCGTGTGCAAGGGGAGGGGGGGTGCTCCTCCTTTTCGCCCCCGTGGGTGTTGCTCCTTGGGTATCGCTCTACCGAAATTTGGTACCCCTTTCGGATGCTCCCAAATGAGGCCCTTTTGGGGCGCTCTGGGGCTCCTCTTGGGCGCTCTTGGGGCCGTCTTGGGCTCCTCTTGAGTTTCCAGGGCCATCTTGACGCCCAGGGGCTCATCGGAAACGAAAAAGCGAGAAGCCGAACAACCGCGATTTTGCTTATATGATTCGGATTTGGGCCTCTTGGAGTGGAGAGTGCCATGGGAGGCTCGGAGGGCACTCAGAACCGTCCTGGGGCTGCTTGTGGCGTCTTGGAGGCACGTCGGATTTTTTTCGAGCGGTGCTGATGTATCTTGAGCAATTTTGGAGACCGTTTTGGGTCGTCCAGGGCCTTATTGGAGCCATGTTGGGCGGTTTGCCAGCTCGTCCCCCCCCTCCCAGGCCCAGGGGAGGGGGCAGGGGCAGGGGTCAAGACCCCCTCCCCGCCCGCAAGCCGTCTCGCTCACTCCCACCCGCCCTCCCAACACATACGTAGCACCCGAGCCTGGCCCTAGCCTCAGCATATTCAGCAGTCGTATTTGGATGGGCAGCTACTGGAAGCCAATCCGCCGCCGCCGCCGCCGCCGCCGCCGCCGCCCGCCGCCGCCGCCGCCGCCGCCCCCGCTGCCGAATCGCCGCCGCTGCCGCCGCTGCCGCCGCCCGCCGCCGCCGCCGCCGCCCCCGCCGCCGCCCGCCGCCGCCGCCGCCGCCGCCGCCCCGCCGCAGCCGCCGCAGCCGCCGCCGCCGCCGCCGCCAAGTGTACTCTGTATTGTTTGTTGACAAGGATGGTGTGCGGAGGCCGGATCGGGTGGGCTGCGCATGCTCAGAATTTAGAGGCAGAGTGTTTTTTTGTTTTTTGTAAAAGGATGGTGGGGGGGGGGGCCGCATTGTTCCTGGTTGGCTCCCAGTCGCCTGGGGGGGTAGATTAATATGGAACAGTGATAAACCAGTCCCTGGAGCAGGAGAAGGATGGCTGTGGCAGGGAGCTGAACTTAATTCGTTCCACCTTCCAGCCTAGAGGGCTGGTGGGATTTAGCCGACCGTCCTGATCTCATTACGGGGATACTTCAAAGGGCCCATAGAACTTCTGGATACGGTGAGGGCTGGGTCCCGCCGCGAAGGGTAATGAAAGGGGCTGGTAGAGATGACCCGCTAGACCTCCCTTTGCCCAGAGGGCTGGTGGAATCACCGTATGCCGCTGGTTTCTGGTGTGGGCGCTGTGTATTCCTAAGGGAGGGCTGGCGGTATCGCTGTCAAGGAAGACTGGGCCCCCCTCAGCGGTTGCGCAGGTGAAGATGATCTTTATGAAGCACGGCATCCCTCCGGTTAACAAGGAATCGTGCAATTCGTTCATTAGAGCTAGTTTGGTACCCGTTCATCAGCCCGCGACAACTTGATTCAGCGCTCGATGTCATGTGCACTATGCATGGTTCTGATGGTTTTGGTCGATCAACCTTGGATTCGATGAGGTTCGGCTATCTTTGGTTTGCACGTCTTATGGCGCCCTGTCTTGGTTTGCCTGTGTTTGACGACCGCTCTGTCTTTGTGCGTGTATTTCCTTGCGCAGACGTGTTTAGATTCCTTGTATGTGGACTCTAGGTAGGTTTGGTAGGATCAACGGGTATTGAGCCTTGCCCCCTTTCCCTCCCCCCTCCCTCTCAGGAAAATCTGTCGGGAGTACAGTGCAGCAGTGGGACAAGCAGTAGTTGCGCGGGTGCTGTGCTGAAGCGTAAGGACGGATGAAATGAAAGAGCAGGATGGGGAGGATAGCGAGGAGGATGGGATCGAGGATGGATTGGATCCGTGGCGGGGAAAGATCCAATCACCGTCTAGGGGTTCGATAATTTTCGGGGACTTCGGCAGGCGGTAGATATGGATGTATTCGGGGGCAATGGAGCCAGCATATATCCATATCCCCCTCCCCGTGAGGTCCCAGGACGTCGATCCCGCAGGTGGGGGGGTGGCGGATATGGATACACCCCCGCCTCCGATATGGGGGCAAGGAAGGGGGGGTGACGGGAATGCTGGGAGCAGGAAGCGGTTGCGGAGAAGGAAGGTGAGGGGAGGGATGAGTCGACGAAGGGGAAGGGGTTACGGAAGTCATATTCGAACGGGCCAAAGGCGGCCGCGGGCCGACATCATCACATAATATATCATATTACGACAGCAGAACACGTCATAACACGTCATGGCATCACCGACATGACAGATCAGAACACCAGCATGACATACCATGGCAAAACACAAACATGCAATGCCATGACACAGCAGATCAGGCCAGCACAGAACATACCAGGGCAGACCATTACATGACAGAAGGCGACAGAACACACCGTAAGAGAACAGAGCCGAGCACAACATAACACATTTTTACATACCATATCATATCATTAATCACCATCGCTTCACAGTGCATCGCACGATTGCAGGGCATAGTGACGAGGAGCACGACAGACCGTCACATGCCACAACACAACATGACATAACATCACACGAGCATGACATACCATGGCGGAACATAACATAACAGTACCATGACACACAAGGCCATAACATGACGAACATAACATACCAGAGCAGGACAAGACAGAGCAGAATACGACATTACACAGCATACCATAACATAGCCGAGCACAACACAGCACATCAATGCATAACACATCATAGCATGACACAGCACCATCGAACATCCCATAACACGACAGCACAACAGAGCGACCCATATTATCGGAGCACATCCTAATGTTATATGCAGGGCCGTGCCGTAAACCGTCAGATCTTCACATTTCATTCCAGACCAAAACATGACAGACCAGACGAGGACATAGCACAACATTGCATACCGTAGCCGAGCAACAACACGTGGACATAGCATATACTAGCATGACGCAGCATCACATAACATATTGTTACGCGACAGCAGGTCATAGCCACACATACTAACATAACATATCCTAATGTACGATTCAGAGCCGAGCCGTCAACAAGCATAACATCATATAATACATCACATCATACCATTACATAGTTGACGGTGACATAATACAACATACCATGGCATAGCCAAGCATAGCATAACACACCATGACCTAACATATCCCACAATATCATGGCATCACCACATAACATATCATACCATGACAGCGAATCACAGTGACGCATACTAGCAAAGCTTAACATATTATACTTTACTCAGCTGGGCACTCCAAACCACCACGGAGCAACGTACTGTATAACGTACTTTGACATACCATCCTGAAGAAACTGGGCTACGCCGAGGCCGCCGCCGACCCGTGGCAATCCCTCGGCTTCGCGAGGTACGACGGACCGGAGCCTTCGGCCCAGAGCGTGGCAGTTCGCGCACGCACGGCGGTCCAGCTTTGCGAGCTCAGCCGCAGGGCTAACTGGCCAGCTGCAGACCAGGCGAGGGCAGAGGCTGCTTTGCAGCACTTCTCCACCGCCTCGGCGACCTGCACCACGGAGCTTCCAGACGTCTTGCGGGAGCGTCGCCGCGCACGTGCTGGCAAGCTTCCACTTTGGAAGTAGATGGGGAAGGAGGCTCTGGAGATGCTGAGGCTGCACGCGGCGGGTCAGGATATTTTGTTCCTTTAGGTGTAAGGTCGCGGGACCCTTGAGGTGTCGAAGAATAGGTTTTTTTTTTCTTGTTTCGTTCTAGTTTTGTTCTAGTTTCGTTCTAGTTTCCTTCGCGCCGCGTTCGTCATCTTCTCACCCTTCGTCCTCCTGATCATTATCTCCTCGTCTTCTCGTCCTCGGTGACCTGTGTCCCCTCGTGCTGTCTCACTGTTTGTCGCTGTCATGTTCTGATATCCCTCCACATCATCCTCTTCCTCGTCGTTTTTATCCTCCTCATTCTCCTTCCCTCTTGGTACTCGCGCGGCGCCTCGACCTCGATGATGGTTTGGGCGCGTGCGTCCTATGGTGAAGCACTTGCAGTCGGATTCGCTCACATTCAGAACCGCTCACGCTCAGATTCATTTGCGTGCAGACCCACGCATGCTCAGACTCACCCGATCGCAGACTCGACCGCGCCCATACGCAATCACAAACGCACCCACTAGCACTCAGACCCACTCCCGTTAGTATGAAAGTGTGCTCAGATTCGCTCATTCCTCGACTCATTCCCCCCAGGGTGAACTCAATTCCCCTCCCCTACCTCCTCCTCCTCCTCCGCCTCCTCCTCCTCCTCGCCCTCCTCCTCGGGGGCTAGGAGATTCCCCTGCGGGGCCACTAGGGGTTCGCAACGGCCCCACGGCAGCCCGTGGCGGGGCTTGGCAAGCCCAGAGTCCCAGAGGTATTTAGGGCCTCTTAAATACCTCGCGATTCGGTCGCCGACCTTGCCCCGAAAGGTCCCCCAAGGAGGCCCCGAAAGGTTCCCTCCGCCTCCCCCGCCTCCCCCGCCTCCTCCTCCTCCTCCTCCACTCGCGTTAGTATGAAAGTGTGCTCAGATTCGCTGATTCCTCGACCCATTTAGCATTGGTCGCAAACGCACATGTTACGACGCTTTGTTGATGTTGCCTTCAGCTGCCCGCCGCTGGGTTTCTTGCTCACTGTTCACCACTTCCGTAGGCATTGGTTCGGGCCTGCGTCGGCAGCGGCGGGCTGACATGGAAGAGGTTCGCCAGCGCGTCCACGCTTCGCGAGAACAGCTCGCAGCTTTGCACCGGGCAATTTCTGCGCTGCCACAGTCGGCAGAGTTCGAGGCGTCCCTGTCGGCGATATCCCATCTATCTGATACGCTAGCAGGGGAGTTTGATTTGAGGAGAAGGGCAGGAAGGAAACGGCCCAGACTGGAGACCCTGAAGCGGAAGGTGTCTTCTTTTCAACGATCTGTGCGGCACCACCGCGCCGTGGCGGCTGCGGCGCGCCAGAAGTTGCAGGATCCCCAGTCAGCCAAGAGTGGCAGGCGGATAAAGCATTTATGGTTGACAAGAATCTTGACGACCCCGCCGAACGTGCCGGTGAGGGCGCTGTCTGATTGGCTCCGCGATTGAAGTGGAGACTCGCAATGTTTCAACTTGGGGAATTGCGACAGTGCGCGATGCGGGCGCACAGGTGCTAAAACACATCAACCGAACACACGTGGCGAGCCTTGTGGAGAGAGGCGGTGCGGTCAGCAGCGCTACCGAGACGCATCCCGTGTTTTTGACCCACGCCCACGACGAAGCCGCCATGGGGCTAAAAAGCTATGGCCCGAACAGCTCCACCCGTGGGGGATCGTCCAAGATCCAGAACCACGTGATTCGGATCCACACCAGTTTCGATTCGGAGCAATTCTTGACTGAGTTACAACCGGTTCTGAGGAAGGATGCAGTAACAATCGCTCAAGCCATGGCGGCAGCTTCAGAGGAGGCCATTGAGCAGATTGTTCTAGGCGCCCGCCAGATCGGCCCAGCCTGCACGACGGCCCGCGTGATTCACATGATCGTTGGCGACGGCATTCAGACCAATGACTCGGCATGCAGGCGGTTGCTGCAGTACTATTCCCAGAGAGCACCCGAGTTGGGCATCAGGTACGGCCTGATAGTCAGCGCTTGTGCAAGTCACAAAGCAAATCTTGTAGTTGTCGTCGCCATATGAGGGCAACTTCTGAAGGATGCGGCGAAGGCGGACCCCATCGCTGCCACGTGCACGCGGGCCTTCAAGCATCTAGTTGCATTTGGTCTGTCCCGCCACTGTGCCTCGGTGGTGGTGGTGGTGGTGGTGGTGGCGGTGGTGGTGGTGGTGGTGGGTCGGAGGTCTCAGTGCTGTCCGTCGGGGGCTCGCGGTTGGCCGATTCAGGGCTTCTCGGCGACCGTGTTGGGCCTTCTTGAGGCCTGTTTGGCGCCTCGTGGGGGCTCCTTGGAGTTCTTGGGGGCCTCTTGGGGCCTCCTGGGAGCGTCTTGGCGTCTTGGGGGCCTCATGGGGGCTCCCTCGGAGCTTGTTGTTGCCTCTTGGGAGCTTCGTGGGGCGGGGGGGGGTCGGTTTTCGGCGTTCGGGTGCCGCGAACCTCGCGCGGGGCGTCAAAACATGCGCCCGCCATAGTCGCGCGACCCTCAGGGTTGAGAATTCAGGTTCAAGGATGAGGTAGAGTATCTTGGAACGCGCCTTATCCGTGCCTCAGAGAACGGCGGCGGATTTAACAGTCGACTACTTGGAGGAGTTCTCCTTCAACCTCCGCCGTGCGATCGACGCGCGTCTTGCTGTCGTGCACGACGTGGGGTCTGATCTTATCGCCCAACACAGCCAGCGGGGGTTCAGTTTGCAGCGTTTGTACGGCGAGGGAGTGATACCGCCCGCGCTGCTTGGCGCCTTGAATAGAGATTTTCTTGCATGGGAGCATTGCTGTGAGAGCCTTGAGGATCGCCCACGCGCGTGCGCCATGCTGTTCGACGTGCTCTCGAAGCACCTTCTCCGTCTGGAGGAGCGGCCAGTGCCAGCGAGGTTCTGGCTGTTCACGCGCTGCGTGTGGGCTTTACTCATCATGGACATGTCGGGGTTGCCAACCTCACTGTTCAAGCTGGACAATAAGAAGCCGCAGAAGGAGAATGCGGATCGGCTCAGCAGGGTCCTCGGATTTTTCCAGGCGCCAACGACCCCAGCGCAGTTGAGGAAGGCTGCGCTGTGTTTACGTTTGAGTTACCACGCCGTTTGCACGAGCGCGCAGACGAAGACCAGGGAAAACGAGTTGCGGCCATTGGCTGTCCGCCTGGCCCA